ATTTGTAAAGTGTTTAACCTTGCTAGTGAGAACAACATATCTAAATAAAATAGAGAGATAATAATTGTTAGTACAACGAAATGAAATGTAACTGACTTCGCACCTGATGCAGCAAAAATATCAGCCCATTCATTGGGATCTAATAGAAAGTACTTATTTTTTCCAATGTTAAATGCAAAAATATAATCTGTAGTTACTGTAAAATTCAGCACGAAATTGTGGAGCAAAATCTGCATATGTCCAATCCGCTGGATATGTTTTGTTCATAAAAGAAACAACATCGGAAGTTGGATTGTCTCCTTTCCAATCCCACCACATCCTACGAAAATGAATAATCATAAGATGCTATATTTCATCCTTGCTAACTGATGGAATGTTCAAAGTAACTCGATCTTAGAATACATACCATTCCGATCTAATTGATGGTACACTGAAGACACCCCAATGAATAAAAATACCTATTTTACTTTCATCATACCATGTTGGTAACGGACGTGAATCTATTGATGTCCAATCTGGTGTATATTGTTGTTCAGTAACTTTTAAAAGACAGCAACTAAGAATAGCAGCAAATATAGTTGCTGTAAGAGAATACATCGTTGGTATCTCTAAGAGATAATTATAAATGAAGCGAACAGACTCCAAATATGTCTATATAAAGGTATGTCTGTAATCTAACTAAAAAGAATACAAGATAAGATAAAGGTCATAAGGAGACCAGTGCTTGTTACTACAGTTAACATATTATCATCAATGTGAGAATTACTTCACAGTAGAATATTTCTCTTGAAAAAGAACTTCCTGATATGTTCAAAGAGTTTACATTTCATTCTATTGACAATCAGTAAATTTTCATCGTAAAGTCTTTCTTTTTGAAATATTGGATTATTAATATATGATAAAATGAAACAAGAATAAAACAATCGAGGATTGTTTTCTTATAAACAGCAAATATTTAAAGCTGAAACTTTTTCTTTGATTTAAGACATCATTTATTCGATCTAATCTTCGTTAATAAGATAATATATTAATGTAGACATTCTATCACAGAGAACTGTCTTAAAGATAATATCTTCATTATTAAAATAGTTTATTTAAGTATCTATGATTGACAAGAGTCGAATCAAGTATTTGATGATTACTTTTTATTTTTGTTTTTTTTCTTGTTAACCATTATTTTGATGATTTAATAACGTTAAATTCTCATATAAATATTTAACTAGAGAAAATATTTTTTATCTAAATGTTTCTCATGTTATTTAGATAAATTGCTTGTGAATAAAATTGAAAATAAATAAATTCTGATTGGTTTGAATCAAACTATTTATAAAATAGTTATACTAATTGGTTTAATCAAACAATGAGTAAAATGAAATTATTTATTTTAGATTTAAAATAATTCCGTATTATTGTTATCGTAATATTTTATTTAGTAAATCATAAAATTTTTTACGTCTTCAATATAGGTGTAAATCTCTAACAGTTTTAAATTATTTTTATTCCTTAGAATGCATGAGGACTAGATAAGAAAGCAGTAGAAAACTAACACAATGAGCTAATAAATTAAAGTATGATTCAAGCGTAAATTGAAAAAATTAATCACAGAAAAAGTGAAAAAGATATTATATGGAATGTTTAATACATAGCATTAATTTATGAAAAGAATGTTTAATTATCACTTTTATAATGTTTCATGTTTCTTTATTTTTGATTTAACACTGCTAATATGTTCGAATTTAAATACCCATGTCCAATCACTTGCAAGTGAATACATTTTTATATTTGATATATCAATAATGATTCCACCACTTTCACTAGCTGCACGCCATTTTAATGGACCAATATTTGAGCCAAGAAGCGTCACAGTTGTACTTGCTGAACTAACTGGTGCACCAAGTGTAATTTC